AAAAAATAATCAACTCCAGCTCGAAAACAAGGCCATGAAAAGAAACCTCTATCAGCACAACATTGATCGTGAGTCAAACAGTATTGGTGAACACAGCAATCACCACACAACCATGACCAGCAATCGCAACCACGTCCACACATACCAAAACAATCATTGTCACCACGAGGGAAAGGACATGTACGACAGTATCCACCCCCAGCAGCACATCTGAAATACTGCTTGGTTGTTATGCTCCTTTTTCTTGCTGTACTAGCTCCGTCTAATAATTGACCTTTCATTTTCTCCAGCTGCAGTCCCAGGAGGTAAAACTGCCTTACAGGAGGGTGGCTTGAATTAACATTGTTCATTTCAACAAGAGCCTTTGCTGCTTCAATGATAAGGATCGCTTCTTCACTTAAAGCAAGGAGTTGAAGAGTAAGCTGACGTGTTATATTCACATTAATGCTGTCAAGCTCTTGGAGAAGATCATCAGTCATGTGTGGGTCACTACTCGTCATCATAGTCTCCATGACACCAGTAGCATTAGGAGGTACAATGTAGTCATTCATTTGTGAGGCCGAGTTCCTCATAATCATGAACATGGTGCTGTTGATACTTGTCATTGTCATATTGGTGGACTGGGGGTGCATGACATTAATGACATCCATACCAGTACTGATACTGGTAACTATTAGAGTATAGTAGGTAGAATTGATGACCACCTGGAAACGAATCCCAGCCCCATTGGATCCATAGTATTCACCAGATAACTCCTCCTGTGTGGTAGTTGTTACCATTAGACCATCACTTGTTGGTTCAGTGGTTGGCTGGTCAGAAGGTAAACTTAAAGAAACAGAAATAATAGCACATGCTGCCACTACCAGTAGAGCTATTAGAAACAGCAGGAGTGTTTTTCGACAAGCATTTTGTTTCTTTTCCCCCTTCTTATTGATTTCATCAGTGTCCTCTTGATAAAGGAATGGCGTCTTCTTTGTTGTTGGTGACTCCATGACCGAGCAATGGCAATAGATAGATAGCTCTGTTTTGATAACATATACTCCATTTACTACTACTCCTACTCCCCATGCTTAGTCACGTGTGTAATATCTATTAAACAGTAGGAGTGGCTCATTAATATTTAAAAAGCAAACTGTGAACTATGATGAACAAGTTTACCCAGAAACAAAGTAGTAATAATTGATATCTTTGAGAACAGAGTGACCACTTAAATCAAAGGATTAAACTGACAAAGACACTCATCCTTTGTAAAACAATGTCCACTGTCTGACTGCTATTTCAGTCAAATACATATGCATGGCACTCTGTAGATTTCACATTAGCTAAGTAACTTTTTTGTTTATTATAAAGGCTTTTCAAAACAATAAAAATGTGTGTGACAAAAACATCTCTAAAGACATGAGAAAACATTTCAACTGACAAAGCGGAAAAGATATTAACAAAAACTGATAAAGAATAAAAAAAATATGTACACACCTAAATTCCAGACGATACACACAATTATTAGCTACAGCTACTCTAACAATAATCAGTAATAGTTATCTCAAAGTTACACACATTTGTATTACTCTGGTTTACATTATCAGCAATCATAGGTAGCACTACACCTACTAAAAAAATAATCAACTCCAGCTCGAAAACAAGGCCATGAAAAGAAACCTCTATCAGCACAACATTGATCGTGAGTCAAACAGTATTGGTGAACACAGCAATCACCACACAACCATGACCAGCAATCGCAACCACGTCCACACATACCAAAACAATCATTGTCACCACGAGGGAAAGGACATGTACGACAGTATCCACCCCCAG